GTTCAGCACATCTGCTATAGCAGCTTTACTTCCAGGAAGATTTCTGCACTTAAGGAGTAGGAAAAAAAAGACTTAAATCAAGGTGAAAACCTCTGAGTAGTTAGGCAATCACTGGTACTGCTGCCACCATAATTATATTCTCTTTCAGCTCAAGCATGAAAGTAATATTCAACTCTGGTGAGGCCATAGCTTCTTTCCGGCTGTCATGTTAATGATAAACCTTCTAGAGCCCTGGGAAATTAAGATTCACATTGAGGCAGACAAATACAACTCTGTTAAAGAACTGGCTGGTTTACTATTAATCACAGGTCCCAGAAGATTTTGCTTTTTAATCCAACACTGACCGTGCCCGCAGCCCACATTAACACAGATAAACAGAGACAATGAAATAGACAAAACAAATCCTGCTGGGAAATAACTTAGCTCTCATAAAACAACTTCAGCTGTTCCAGTTTAGAGATTCAGAGAAAGTGGGAGGATAGCATAGCAGTGCAGGACATCTCTGAATTTCTAGGAGACTTACTAGTATTCCTCATGTTTTACAACTTAATAAGGAACCTACTTTTTCTTCATATATCAGAATTGAGGGCAATCATACATCAGCAGGCAAAACTGTGCTCTTGGATTTAAAAAAAAATCCATCAATCAAGGTGTCTGGTTTTTTGATGCTGGTGTGACCAAAGGGCGAAGTGACTTTTAGCTACACTTCTGATTTCCTTTGTGATATTAAGGAAGTTCATGATTCATTGCCTAAAAACAGCCTTCCTTTCCCAGTTTATATGTATAAATAGAAATACAGTTCAGCCACATGCAAGCCTGGAGGTTTTTCACAGGCTTATGACAATGTGGGAACTAGATACTAGGCAAAAGTTAGCAAACACAGACTGACATGGAAACGTGTTAAAATTCCACCTTTACAGGAAAAAAAACATCTTTTTTAGACACCTGTTCTGCATGAAAATACACAGGTGGGAAGAAAAACTTCAATTGCATTTACAGAAAATGGTAAAACATGGAGGGAGAAGCCAACACAATGTTCCATATTTAGCATAAACAGCAGCAATTAACTCTTCCCCCTCACCATCTTATGAGGAATGTAAGGTTTTATTTTTAATAGCTCCATGGAAAATGGCAAGCCTACTGAAAATAGATTCCATTCACCTGCAAATAAATTTGAAGCGTTAAGTTCTTGTGGATGCAGGCATTCCTGTTAACTTCAATGATATTACTTGCATGCTAAGAGCACATTATTCACTATCATTTTATTGTGAACCAAACTGAAGAAGTTCAAGAGAAGAAATGACTATTGGATCCCCTTATTCTTTGCATTAATGCAATATCAGACAAGACTAACATCCAAACACATATCACCTATGTGCAGTTAGAAAAGAAAACAGGGAAAAAACAAAGTCTAGATTATATGCTTCATAGCTGCAAGCTTGTCCTGGAAGAGCTGGACTATGGCAGTTATTTGAATCTCCTTACAACCAATAATTTATCTACAGAAGCATTCAAGAGAGCAATAGGAGGTTACATGTTATTTGCCAGAAATCAAAATACATAAGGGTGATTTTCCAGGTACTTAGTTCCCTCTGCTATGTGTTGAGTATCCTCTGCTCCAAATGCCTTTGGGGTTGAGGCAGGCAAGGTTCTTTAAGTAGACGTGATATCTTTTATTAGACCAACTGAGTAGTTAGAAAAAAGTTCTTGGCAAGCTTTTGGGCACAGTCATCCTTCTTCAGGCATAGGGAGTCTCTGCTGTTCTGAGACTCCAAGGAATTCAGGGTTGAGGGTGTTCAGCTCTGATAGGATGCACTCAGCACGCTGCAGTGAAGCACTTAAGCACAGCCAATAAACTTTAGTAGCTTTAACGAAGAAAATGATTGGCTTCTTTCCCCAATTTTTTTGTCAAATAAATCCAATATATTTACAGCAATTCCATAACCTTTATGGCAGCTTTGTTCCAAGTGGGGCTCTGCTTACAGCTACAGCCTGCCAGTGCCATTTAAAACAGAAACATTCCCATTTGTTTAGTTAAGAAACTCATATCGTTTCACTGCCTGGAGGTAGACTCCTAGTCCATATTTCACTTCTAATTCAATTCCTTTTTCCAGTGCTTGTTTATTTAACTTAATAAGTTATTTAACTTATTAAATACATCATAGCATCATCTCTCCCAAAAGGCAAGATGCAAGTGAAAAGTAATGAAATAATGGCATCTGGATTTTTAATAAAACTGTCTCCTGATGTATTTACAGGATTTGTATGAAAATACTAATTGTTCTAGGCAGGAAGCCAAAACAGAAATAGGGACTGAATCTGTCTCAAATGTCTCAGAATATTTCTTTAAGACATGCTTTGCTGGAACCCCCCGCTAATTCCTGATTCTTTCCTTGATCTTGCACCTCACTAACTCATGTCACAGTGACTGTCTCTGTGCTGAATGCCACTGCTGTCAGTGCCTAAGAGCCCATGAGGGGAAAAAAAAAATCTCCTGGAGAGCAACTGAGACGCTGAAAAAAAAAATCTTTGCTGGCTTGTGATTGATCCTGTATCCTTGTACCCTCTTTTTCCTGCATAGCCACTGGAGGATTGAGAAAATCAAACCCAAGAGCTCAAAGCTCCAGTAAGAGTCTTTCCATGCCCTGCAGCAGATGCAAAAACCCACCAGCTCAGCTATACATAACAACTCTACATTCAGAAAGCAGCTATACATTTAGATCATTTTTTCAATCTTGTTTGTAGAAGGTTTAAGGCTTGTTCAAAGCCAACAGTCAGAGCTGCGATCTATCATATGGGATGAAGCAGGTATGGGATATGCACTTCCTTTAACAGGCTGTTTGACAGCAAAATACTATTTAACTGAGTTTCGGAGGGCAAGGCCAGGTCAGTACTTGGAAATTTTCAAGCACTTCATAGCTGCAGTTGGTTTTAAGCTGGTGTCACTCATCATGTGTCATTCTTCCATCTGAACAACACTAGACAGTGCTCTAGCAATTGTGCAGTTTGAATTTCTATATTTCAGTACCAAAAATAAAACAAAACAAACTGATTGCCTGTGTTCATAAAAGCCATGCCAGTTTTCATAAAGAGTTGGAGTTCAGGTTGGGGTGTTTTTGGAGTAACTCCCATTCCTGGAATTAGATGCATCTTTTTTACCTAAATTATTTCTGCTCTATCACGATACTGAATTCTTTTCCCAAAGTCGTGTACAGCATGGCTATGTACTGTTAAACAGCTGTTGTGATTCACTGTAGAAGTGGTAGCACATCAGTAATTTGTGAACTTCTTATATAAACTTGCCTCCAAAGCAGCATTACGAACTATAATAATGTGATGTTGGTAAAGTACTTTATGGCGCTTGGACAGAAGGGGCTAAAAGAACAAAAGAATGATTCAACTGAAATCCAAGGCACCTTCCAAAGATCTGAATTCATTTAATTATTTATATACAGGCTCAAATAAAAGTTCTTGTCTATGTAATGAAAGTCCTTGGTGTGGCAGGGTCACAACTCCGTTATTACAACAGTGCCCAACATGGTTAGAGTTTGGTACGCTCTTGTGGTATAAATTAAAAAAAACAACAACCCCCCCCCCCCCCAAGCGCTATTTTTACCGTACTTCTAAACCTAAGCACAGTCTTGAATTTTGCAGGATTTTATTCCAGGTCTAGAATATGACAAAAACAGGGCCTTGTCCCTGTGCTAAAAGAAACAAAACAAAAATTTTAATAGCTCTGGATGTGACCATGCTGTGGCTGGGTCCCAAACCAAGGAGGAACCAAAGATGTGTCCTGATCTACCACATCACCTCTCTCTTCTAGGGTCCAACAAATGGAACGAGTGGACCAAATAAAACAAATAAACCAAAGTTAATCTGCATACTATACGACTTCTCTTACTTTAAAGGCCTCTACAAGGTGGAGACAAAACCCTTCTAGGCCTCATCACATAACTGTTTAAAACACTTTTAAACATGGCTTGGACAGTTACAGCAACCCACACTTGCAACATGATCTTTCTAGCCTGGCTGGATTTAATAAACAGATTTATATACGCGAGCAGTCAAGGGAAGATGTCTCCAAATAGTGCTCCCTCTCTCTTCTGAATGTGCCCAGTCCTGGGATGAGAATTGAATCCTTATGTGACACGTGACACTGCTGCAAAACGCATTCAGCAAACAACTGAATGGGATAAATACACGCGCACAAGGAACAGCACAGCCAGGCGCAGCGTCCCAACGTCAGAACAACCCGGCTCTCGACAACACCCGAGTCACCAGCTGTTTGGGACAGAAAGTTCCCTGACCCCTTACATTCACACCCTGCTCAGCCAGGCAGAGACACGGCACTATTCATGGATATTTCGTTGCTTCGTTGTTTCTTTTATCAAAGCAAGTGAAAATCCCCATATTCACGTTCTCTCTTGCTTGAGTAATCCTATTCTCGCAGAAATTTTAGGGTGCCATCTCGCGGACAAGGCAGTATTTGCCAATACTGACTCAAACGGGTCGCGCGCACTGCAAAGGAGCGGGTCGGACTCCGCGGGGAAAATACAAGGCAGATGCTAAAAGTGTCCGTGAGCAAACATCCCCATGGGACCAGCAGCAGGACTGCCACGGGATCGGCAGGCGAGAACAGAAGCCCACGTCCCGCCGCCGACACGCACGGAACAAAGCGGCAACAGCCCACAAGGACTACGCACCCCGCCCCACCGCGCCGACTGATTTGCATAACCGCCGCTCATTTGCATACGACGCGAGTCCCGTGGCTTTGGCCCCGCCCCCTCTCAAGGCAGCTCGGGGCAGCCAATGGCGCGACACCCCCCGCCCCGCCAATGGCGTCCACGTAGCCAGCCGGGCAACCCGGAAGTACTCGCGTGGCTGTGGCCCCGCCTGGCTACCTCACTCCTTACGTCACAGCGGACTCCTCTAGTGGCCCAATCGTGGGGGGCGGCAGTCGCGCGACCCCGGAAGCACTGCCCGCCAGGCGCTACGCGCTGACGGGGAGTTGGCGCGGGCGGCATCCGGCGGTCGGTGTCGGCGGGTTTGCGTGATGGCTCCGAAGGGTGGCAGTGGGGCCCGGCAGCAGTCGGAGGAGGACCTGCTCCTGCAGGACTTCAGCCGCAACCTCTCGGCCAAGTCCTCGGCGCTCTTCTTCGGCAACGCCTTCATCGTGTCCGCCATCCCCATCTGTGAGCGCGGGCGGCGACGTGGCACGGGGGGGGCATGGAGAGGTGGTGTTGGGGAAGGGGGTCGTGGCATGGCGGGTCCCCTTTGGCTTGACGAGCCTCCCTCTGCAGGGCTGTACTGGCGGATCTGGCACATGGACCTGGTGCAGTCTGCGGTGCTGTATAGCGTCATGACCCTGGTCAGCACCTACCTGGTGGCCTTTGCTTACAAGAATGTCAAGTTCGTCCTCAAGCACAAGTAAGTGGCTGCGGGTGTTTATACGAGCAGGGCCAGGCCAGGGCAGCCGCTGCAGGGAGGAGCAGATTAGGGGAGCAGAGCTGGAGCTAGGCCACCCTCCCCATGTGCTTGTAACTATTGCTGCAGGGCTTAACCTCACAGAGCTTGAAGCACCTCTATGTTGCGGATTTGAATTGAGCAGCCCCCAAACTAACCTGCTTAGTAAAGGGGCAGCTGCCTTGCAGAGCAGTGCCACAGTGCGGTGGACCCCAAATTGCTCTGCCATTGTCTTCTTTTCCCTTCATGCTTGCTGCAGCTCCCTTCAGAGCAGCCCAGGGTGCCCCAGCCCCCCTGTGTGAGAATCACTGATGCAATGTTATTTCTGTGTGAGTGGGCAGCCCCCTGGGTGAGGGTGCCTGATGCCATTGTGCTGCTGACACCACCTGGGCTGCAGCACTGACTGAAGGGCTTATGGGGAATCCAGTAAGGCAGAGGCACTTGAGGGCCAGTCCCCACTCCTGATGCTGCCTGAGGTTTAGCAAGAGGTGTTTCAGCAAACCTCTGCTGTGCCAAAGCTCAGTATAGGTCTGAACTGAAAGAGCCCTTGGTTTTGGGAGGGTGGGGTAGAGCTGACTTGGGTTTGGAGCTGCTTTTTAGTGCCGTCCCATTCTCTTGTGTTGGCCACTGAATTGCCCTTGATTCCTGGCTAAACTGATCTTTTAAATACCCACGTTTACCTTTCAGCTGGTGAGTTCCTGACCAGAGTCAAAATGTCAGCTCCCTTTTTAGATATTCTTACAGTTTTAATTTACATACTTTAATGGTTTTCACTAGGGATATCAAACTCACCTGCATCGCTGGGCCAGTTGCAGATGGTAGGGCTCCTCATGGGCCAGATCCAACCTGGGGCATGCGTAGCAGAGGCAAGGGATCTAGGAAGTGGGGACCAGGGGCAGGGTTTTTCTTGGGGAGGGATCCTGGGGGGCAGTGGCAGCCAGTGAGCCAAGCTCACCACTGATGGCCATGGTATGCAGGGCTGCAGGGCCCTGAATTCTGTGACAGGCCACATCCTGTAAAGTCTGGTAGCCTTGCAGGCCTTTGTTTGACACCCCCCATTTACACTGTGCAGCAATACAGAAACGTGGATTAGTTTAGAAGTGAGCATCTTCAGCCGAATGAATAACTGCTGCCTCAAAACAGCAGAGATGACTGTAGGGGGTTGCAGGGCCTGGGGCAAATCAGCCTGTGCAAGACCCCTTTAACACTGTGAGGGGTGGGGCCGCAGCCGCTCTCCCTAGCTCTGGGGGGCCTGGGATGGTCACCCTAATTTCCCCCCCAGATCCCCAGGACAGCCATGTGTAACAGTATATACACTGGTTTTAAAGTTGTTGCCTATAATACATGAGATCACAGGAATTTAAATTGGAGGGCAGGAAATGTTTGCCTGTTTGACAGCCATTTGACCAAATGTTTTCACTTGCTTTTATATTTCACTTACTTTATTTTTTTTTATTTTAATTATGATGTGAATGCATTCCTTACATTTCCTTGCAGAGTAGCCCAGAAAAGAGAAGATGCCGTTTCCAAAGAAGTCACCCGCAAGCTTTCTGAGGCAGACAATAGGAAGATGTCTCGAAAGGAGAAAGATGAGAGGTAATCTTTGATTCTCATTATAATGTTTTATGATGTATTCAAGGCTTATGTTAGAATATTACACACTGTCTCTTGCTTTGTGACTTGTCAAGCCAGGGGTGGCCAACCTGCGGCTCTTCAGAAGTTAATATATGTCTCCTTGAATCTCTGCACAAGCGCACAGTGACCAGCTTCCATTGGTCACTGTGTGCTTGTGCAAAGATTCAAGGAGACGCATATTAACTTTTGAAGAGTTGCATGTGGCCCCGGAGCCACAGGTTGACCATCCCTGTGCCAAGCCATTTGCAGTCAGAGTTTATAGGTGAATACAAAGAGCCCACAGTGAAGTTTTACTGAGCT